GGGGGGAGGGCAGTGCCTGGGAGAGCAGTGGCTGGCGCTGGGGGGAGGCGCCGGGAGAGGGCAGGCGACACCAAGGGAGCAGTCTGCAGGAGCGAGGAGGCCGACAGGAGCCAGGGAGCAAGGCAGGATCCTCACAAGGTTCCTACACAGCTCTGCCCAGACAGCGCAAGTCCTGCCTTGCAGTGCGAGAGCCCTGGGCATCGCCCGCCCCCCACGGCGTCTGCTGGTGCAACCTCAGACCTGCACTGCAGCACCCCATTGGGCTCCGCCCATGCACCTCAGTTGCGCCCCATGCGTGGACCACCCCAGGGCAAAGTGCTCCGAAGTGGGCGTGCAATGCTCCCTGGGGTAGCCCCTGGCAGCCCGGTCTGCCGGGGCAGCAGTATGAGGCAGTAACTGAGGCATGAGGGGCCAGGCCCGGGGGAAGCTGACCCTATTCCTCTCTGGCTCCTTCCCAGGAAAAGCTTTTCACCCCCTGTGACATAGCGTTCCCTCTGTTTGCTTTGTTATGTCGTATGTTGTTTGAGGATGTTAAAATGTGATTATTGGGCGACTCGTATCGTCGATACAGTTTGTATCGACTGTACGGTTCGTCGATAAGGCCTCTGCAGAGCCGCAGCGGGGATAGCTCCAGAGGCGCCGACTCGAGCCGGGACTGAGCAGTCCTGCCAACCAAACAAAAAAACCCCACCAGGAACATTTTTGTTGAGCAAAATCCAGTTGTGACCCCTTTAATTAGTCAGCCAATCTCCCCGCCCCGGCTTATTTCTGCTGGGCACAGAGGAAAAGCAGAAAATACTGGACATTTTGTATGTCCGGTATTTTCTAAATTTATTTACCGGACAAAAAGTGCAACTACCGGGCTGTCTGGCTCAGTGCTAGACACCTGGCAACCCTACACACAAGTGTGAAGAAAAATGGAAGTAGCGTCCCAGAGACGGTGCGGGGGGGAGGGGGAGGTGACTAGTCAACTATCCGATATTGTCCACTAGTCGCTTACCTCCCTAGACCAAGCTAGGGGTTCAGATCAGGACTGAAGAGCAAGGGAACCTGGGACATTCGGCCCCAATCTGATAATCCCGCGTATTGTGCTGGAACCACGGAGTAAAACCCTTTCTAAATCCCTCCCATCCCCAACGGCTGCTGCTTTAAGGCCCGAGCCCCTCCCTCCCTGCGTGCACCGGGCAGCGGGTTAGACAGACGGCGCGGCGCGTATTTCACGAGGCCGCAGACAACATTTCGACACCAGCTGGACACTCTTTGCAGGGTCTGGGACTTGTAGCGCAACGCAACAGCCCACAAACGAGGTTGGAGGCATACGTGGCATTTCGTGGCTCTCGTCAGAGCCGTGGGACCACACCCTCACCCCCCCGGCCTGGGAGAACCCCAGCTCACGAGGCTGGCACCGCATGGAGCGCCAGAGGGACCGGACACCATCCTGCAACGCCTGCCCCTAAAATCAGGAGCCGCCTGCCCCAGCCTGCGGGGGAAGGAGCTGTACAGATGGACGGACACTGGGCCAAGGACAGGTGCCTTGTGCCATGCTCCGAAGATCACTACAGCCAGGCTCCCGTTGGCAGGGTGCCTGCGTGAGACAGTGTCACAACTGGGGGCTCTCCCTCGCAAACCCCACACTGATGGACCTAACCTCCATGAATCTATCTAGCTCTTTTTTCGAACCCTGTTAAAGTCCTAGCCTTCCCCACATCCTCTGGCAAGGAGTTCCACAGGTTGACTGTGCGCTGAGTGAAGAAAAACTTCCTTTTTTTTTGGTTTTGTTTTAAACCTGCTGCCTATTGATTTCATTTGGTGACCCCCAGCGTTCTTATATTGTGGGAATAAGTCAATAACCCCAGGAGCTGAGGGGAAGGGGGGGCAGGCAAGTTAAAGTCCTAGCCTTCCCCACATCCTCTGGCAAGGAGTTCCACAGGTTGACTGTGCGCTGAGTGAAGAAAAACTTCCTTTTTTTTTGGTTTTGTTTTAAACCTGCTGCCTATTGATTTCATTTGGTGACCCCCAGCGTTCTTATATTGTGGGAATAAGTCAATAACCCCAGGAGCTGAGGGGAAGGGGGGGCAGGCAAGGCTACCCAGGGGGAGGTGATCCCCACTGCTAGGAGCTGGGGATCAGCCCCCCACTCTCAGGGCCCCAGGCTGCTGGGCTCAAAGGCACCCCCCTTCTCTAGT